GTAGTTCCTGTCAATTCATGTTTTTCAGACCGTCACTTGTCATACACTGTGCCTGGCATTTCTAAGCCTATAAATGTTCCCTCATGGGATGAGGAGTCTCTGCCTGAAGCAATCTTCCCCCAAATGTCCACATAGTTCTTTCCTGGTCAATGGTTTCTCTGAATATCACTTTAAAACTGAAGCAACCTCTGCCCACTGCTCCCACAAACCTATTATATTTTACTCAATTGACTTTTCTCTCCATCCACTGTGATTTGTATGGCATTTAAAATTTTTCTTTTACTGTGCATGTGCTTGTGTGTAGTGCAGGTGTATATGTGTGTGCATGCGTGAGTGTGTGCCTGTGTGTGTGTGTGTGTGTGTGTGTGTGTGTGTGTTCCTCCTTCACTCTCCATCCTGTTTTTTTGAGGCAGGGTGTCTCACGGATCCTGGAGCTCACCATTTTGGTTGGGCAGACAGGCCTACAAGCCCCAGTGATTCTCCTGTCCCTCCCCACCCACCACACCCCACTTTTCTGTGGGTTCTGGGAACCCAAACTCAGGTCCGCATGCTTACACAGAAGGTACTTTTCCAAATGAGCCATCATCCTAGACCCAGGTCCTGGAACTGTCATCTATGTTCACACCTTTGTGCTCCATGCTAACTGGCATGCAGGTGTTCAAAAGTACTGAGTGGTTGAATGGCAGAATCTACTTCAAAGTACACGCCTGAATCAGGACACCATGTGTGTTCTGTCATCCTCATGAAGGACTCAAAATGCCCAGACATTTATTTGATATTCCAACTTTGTAGTTAGAGGAAAGAAACTTTACAGTTACCTCATACCTGCTCGGTGACTATCTCCTACCATCAGAGTTGAAAACTGAAATACCACAGGGATTTAGACAGTTAACCCATGGAGCATGAGCACCAAGGACAGTGTGGTCTGTGACAAGCAGAAGAATCAACAGACGGTCCCACTGGAACTGCCCCACTAAAAGGAATTCAGTTTTGACCAAAGAATTTATATCAGACCTTTGTAAATGAAGCCTGTCTATCTTCAAAGGCTGTCTTCAACCGCCAATGGCCTAATAGGCCCAAGATGACATTTGTGAAGCCATACTGCTTTTTTTTTTTACTTCTTCTCAGTATACACTACAGTCTAAGTATATGTGTGACTCTGCATCAAGACAACAATACTCAACTATTCAAATCTGATCATGTACCCGGGCGTTGGTAGCACACGCCTTTAATCCCAGCACTCGGGAGGCAGAGGCAGGCAGATCTCTGTGAGTTCGAGACCAGCCTGGACTACCAAGTGAGTTCCAGGACAGCCTTCAAAGCCACAGAGAAACCCTGTCTCGAAAAACCAAAAACAAAAAAAAATCTGATCATGTTTGCTTCCCAACTAAATGACAGCTTCTTGTAAGAGGTGCAACCCCTCTTGGATCTTCATCATGACATTACTGTAAACCTAACTTATTTGCAACCTTTCATTAATAGCATCTTCTTTAACCAATGTAAAATAACATGTCCATGGGCAGAATTCTACTAGGTTACCATCAATAAACTGTGAATATTACATAATTTATCCTATAAAGCAAATTACATTTTAGTTTACTTAAACACACACACACACACACACACACACACACACAGAGGCTAAAAATTTTCCCCATTGGAAATATTCTGGAATTTGTATTTTGAAAGTCTAAGGTTGTTCCAGGCTTCTATTACTTGTGCTGTGGTTGAAAAGTGACACTATTAAATGTTAATTGGAATACTGGCAGATGTGACATCCCTTTCTTAAAGATAGGCTGACAGCCGACTTCAACAGCAAAGGCAAATTTGTTTGTAATGTTTGGTCTTGTGCAACTGTGTTATTCCGGGAAATAAATGTAACTGCATTGCTGGGCATAATGACTAGAATGCGTCTGAGACTGACATTTTGTTAATGGAACATGTGAAAACAGAATTAACAAGAACTTTAAGAACATATTACACCAGAGATTCATTGTATTCATTAAAAATCAAATCAAATCACTACTATATGTAATATGTGTAAGTCAAGTAAAACTAGAGATGTTTAAAACAGAAGTGTTTGGTAACTGATTTTGTTTGGCTCACCAAATCCTTTATTTAAAAAATCTATAAGATTTAAGTTAAAACAAATGAAACACATTTCTCACTGGAAGAAAATTGAGACCTTACAGAAAGAAAGATGACAAAGATGTAGGTAAACAAGCTAACTGTCACATCCACGTGTTAGTCCTTAGCTCAAGAGGTGACATATGTACCTAGTCACAATGTTTAAAGAAATTGAGAATATAAAAACTAATATATTAAACATTCAAGTATAAAAACTAATAGGAAACACATAAAAAGGCCTGTGATAGCTGCATCCCAGACAATGGGAACTAACGAAATTTGAATATCAAAGTATTTTTAAATTCCAAGTTAAAAAAGAGCATAAAACTTCCCTCTAACTGTCAATGAATGTTCACGGCATTGTCTAAAACTCTGTTTATTGCAACCTGTCAAATAAAACTGTCTGTGAGAACTGGAACTTTCTGTCTGTGTCATCCATCAACTTCACGTCTATTAAACACTTGAGATGCTCAGTAGTAGTTGAGAAACTCAACTTCTCTTTTCTGTAGTCAGATTAATTTATATTTAAATTTCAGTGCCCACATGTGGCTAATGGCTGTTATATTAGACAGTGCATGCCCACAGAGTTTTGTGTCACTAACCCCAGTTTTTTTTTTATTCTTTTAAATGCACTTTTCAGGCTTCCCTACTTGTAAAAGTTGGTTTTAACATAAACACTTTGGACCTGTAAAACAAACTCTAAAATGCTGTTTACACATTTCAATCAATAAGAGATCAGAGTTCCTTAGTTGTAAGTTGGTGAAAAAAAATTAAAGGGATATGACCACATTCACAAGGTCCACCTGTAAACAAACACCTTCTGTATTTTATCATAGTGCCTACAGCTGGAAACGGGGCCTTTGGCAGGAAACCAGGGCAACATTGCTAGTTAGGAAGATTGGTAAACTATCGGCTTTTTAGAAAGAAGAATGCTGGTTGTTTTTTTTTTTACCTAAACTAAAATGTTTAAAAGAAATGTATAATGTATCTTCTGTGTTTGGTATTCTTAAGCAAGGTGTCATAGTTATTTGAGATTTCTTGCAAATGTCAATGTCGGGAATGGGATGTCTTTGGACATGTTGGGAAGCGGGTTAGGATCAAGAGTAGAAGAACCTCTTCTGGAAGGAACACTCTGGATTGGCTGCCTGGCTTCTCCCACCTGAGGCTGATGGGAAATGATAGAGAATGAGCTCCTTCCTCTCAGAGTCTCTTAGTCAGGGTTTCTATCACCATGCCGAAAGCAGCTTCAGGAGGAGAGGGCTTCTTTCATCTTACAGTTTGTAGTCAGCCCATCATCTTGGGGAGTCAAGGCAGGGACTCAAGGCAGGAACCTGGAGGCAGGAACTGATGCGGAGGCCGAGGAAGGAAGCTGCATACTGGCTGCTCATCATAACTTGCTTAGTCTGCTTTTTAATAGAACCCAGGATCACCAGCCCAGGACACTGCCCACAATGGACTGGATCATCCCACAAAACTAATTGAGAAAATGCCCTATAGTCTTGCCTACAGGTCAATGTTATGGAGGCATTTTCTCAATTAATAGCCCTCTTCCCAAGTTTAAGTCTAGGTTTAAGTCAAGTAGACAAAAAACCAACCAGCACAAGAACTCTTAAAAATGCATCATGCCCCTGGGCCTGGGGTTACAGTCCTATAAGTTTTAGCACTTGGGAGGGAAGTTGACAAAGAACAATCACAAACACAAGGCTTGCCTGGGTGTCTTGGTAATACTCAATACTCAGTCTCAGAAAAGCAGGTTTTTTGTTGTTCTTGTTGTTTTGTTTTAAAAAAGGTTGGGATGTGACTCAGTGGCACATCATGTATAAGGGCCTGGGTTCAATCCCCAGTACTGAAAAAACTTGTGTCTTGTCTTACTATCTTCCGAATTGGAAGAAGAATTAGATATAGTTTATTGTACGTGTTTCCAAAGCTGACTTATTAAATTTCATAATATGCATGGTTCAGACTCCTAAGTTTAGTTTATCTGCACACACACACACACACACACACACACACACACACACACACATGCACACAGACACACACACTCCAAAGATACACAGTGACAACTCAGTAGAATGTGACTATTTTTATCTTCAAGATTAAAGTAGTCCTAAATAGATTCCTCACACCACCACTCTGGGGTGCCTTCCAGAAAGTCACCTATGTGCCAGTGAGAAAAAGAACAAAGTCACTTGTAACATTTATGTACCTACCTAGCACACATCTAATCCCTCTAAATAGAGAAAGGAAGCTGCTGAAGTCTCCTTTCCCTACTAGTTAAGACCCCCTTCATAAGAAGGACCTGCAAAACCGTCTCAGACCACTGTGCTACTCTCCTAGGGACCAATGTCCTATCCCGTGACTCCATGTCTCTCACAGGGCATTCAGGACCTCCCTCCCTGACTAATATTACCCTGCATTGCCATCAGAGCAGGGGAGAGGTTTGCGAGGGGAGACTCTGAGATATACTGGCATTCTGACAGTGAGCAGGTCTAATTTTAAGGTCTTGGTCTTTAGACTCCTGACAGTGAGTGAACGCATACCCAAACTGGAAGCTGATTGGACCACAATCATTTCCTGACTAGCCTTTTAAAACCCCTTGCACAAGGAGAATACAGCACCAGGGCACCCATCAAAGGCTGGAGCAGGCCCTTTGCCAAGGGTTTGCAGATATCTCTCATGGTTTTCCATCAGTCCACAAATGAATGGTTACTATGATAGTGTATATATTTAAAGTTACAGAAAATGCATTCTTAAGCCATGTATCAAGAAAACAGAGTAAAGGTGGAATTTTACTCTTCCCTGTTTATCCCACCATAGATTATTAGGGAAAACTACTGAAGAATACAAAGTTGTAGATATGAGACCCTTACCTGGTGATGACTTCCAGGGAGAGTTGCAGTGGTTTATCCAGAAAAAGTGCCAGCCATTTTCTACCAATCTATCCTATGTTAATTCTGGAAGAGAAAAATATTAAAAGGGTTCACAAAGGTGGTCAATTTTAATTTTTAATTAAATGATTGTTAATACTGCATGTTAAGACTGTTTGAGGAGACAATGAAGCCACTTTTTTCACACTTAGAACATATTTTCCCTAAACGGAGTTAGGCTACCTGACGATAGTTAACACCCTTCCCAGTGTCTCACGGACACCCAGGAAAGGGACCAGACTTGGTGAAACTGACTCTGAAAGCATGCTGTTGGATGCAAACTATGACAACAGATTGGGTGTTTACTTATGAATCTGCAATTAAACTTTGCAAAATATTCTCCTTTTATTATGAGGTTTATGCAAGTGTTACTATACTATATTTTGAAAATACCATTATAAAAAACTTTTTCTGTTTGTCTTTTTCATGTAAGACCTGCATGTCACATAAATGTTGCTATACAATAATGTAATTGTCTTACTCTAATCTTACCTGGGAGCTTACCTCCCAGAGATATTTTCTTCTTTATCCCTCTAGAACTCAAAGTATATATACGCGCTCACAGTTGTGTACATTCATGCTCTCTTAACTAAGATTTTCCTTCTCTGCTCATTGCTGTCTGTTCTTTTATTTAGCCTTATAGCTACACAGAACATCCTTTGTTAGCACACATGAAGCAGTGTTATTCACTGAGAATTTACTTAGCCAGCCTGTTCTTACAGCCTTAAATCTCTTTTTTTTTTCAGCTTCCCTTTTGGCTGCTACAAAATGTTTCAATGCTCATATTCATACATAGACATTTTTATACTTACTCAACATTATCGATAACACAAGTCCAAAATAGAAGTATTCAGCTAAACTGTTTGTATGTTTGTTAGCATTTTGATGGCTACTTATAAAATACCATTTATAAAGTTTGTAATAAAAGTCTGATGCCAAAAACTCTAGGTTTTCATAAAAATCTTTTTTTGTGTGTTGTTTGGCTTGGCATTTCAGTACCTATGGATGAAACTTCTAATGCTTTTCAGGAGTTTTTCTACTTTGCTTTTTTTTTTCAACTGGGACATTCATAATCTCATATTAAAGGGTGAATGTTGTTATAGAAGCTAATATTTTACATGTCATATGTGGCAAACAGCTTTAGCAGATTTGCAGTTTATCTCTGGAATTTGTTTATCATGCTGCTTATTATCTAGTCATTTATTTATTTACATTTAGGTAGCTAAATTCATCGGTAGTTTCTATTACGTATTTGGAAGATTCTACAAAGATTATTTTAAGCTGCACAGTTACTTAAAAGTACTGCATACAGATGACACAGAAAGCCCCACCTGAAAATTCTCTTGGCTATAGTGTCATAACAACTGGGGCATTATCACCATTATCAAAGAAATTTTCATAAGAAGATTTCACTTAAAATACTAAGATGATGTAAAAGCTATGGGCTTTCTGTAAGATTACACTTTAGGAAGAAAATGAAGGAAATCATCAGTTTTACAGTAGCATTTCTTCAGAGTGTTAATAGTGGTGAGCTAAGACAAGAAGTGCCGAGTGAACTACGGGGAAAGAGGCGTCCAGGGCAAACATGAAGTGGAAATATTAACGTAGTAGAGACTCACTAAGGAAATTTAGAACACATACACAAAAAGATAGAAAGAATGAATCTTGAACAATAACCCTCTGGGGCTTTTCAGATCTGTTGTAGTTTTTTATCTTTTTGTTGTTGTTGTTGTTCTGCTAAATTTTCTGGCATTAATAAAAATAAAAGAAATGACTTTACTCACAAGTCAGTGATAACAAAACTAAATTACTTTCATTAGACCATCAAGAACCTAAGTCCAGCCTTAAGAGTATTTTGACAGGAATCCACAAAGCCTTGTGCACACAGAATGGTACTTGTGATTTATGTGTTCTATGTTACTTATGAATACATTACCATTAAATGTTATTAAAATATAAGACACATACATTATGACTTTATACTTCTCTATCACACTGCTTAAAAGTGTGGCTTCCTGATCCTGTTGGCAAACCTCTTTCCTTGGCAGGTCAAATTTCAAAAAATATTTAAGAAATCAATATGTAGAAAACACTTCAGATTCTCTTCTATTACAGATAATGTGGCAGCAATTAACTGTGGTCAGTAAGTGACTAGGAACCATGATGGTGTGGTGTGCTTTACTCATGGTACAATGTGTTTTATCTAAAGTGACATCATCTGAATGGAAATCTGGTCATTAAACCAGGCTTAATGGAACATTCTCACTCAAGAAGAATTACACATAGATTCAGAATCATGAAGAAATGTAATTGAATTGAATTCCAAGAAAAATGTGAATCAAAGAGTAGAGAAAATTCTGATGATAAAATTGTAAGCACATGGCATGTGTTGAAGGAAGTACTATGGTATTTTTTAATCTGTTTGGAAGAAAAAAGAAACTAATGCACATTGTCTACACTCACAGGCTGGGCTTGATAAAGCCAGTGAAAGAGGTCTTTGATATTGCCTCCCTTGTTAGCATTGAGAAACTGCCTGCTGTGTGATTACACCTTCTATGAACCTCCCATGCCCACTGCATGGTGTGCTGGTGTCTCTGAGTTGAGTCTCGCCCCCAGTCTATCCCATAAATATTAAATTCTGTACTGCTAAAGTTGCCTCGATGCTAAAGTCCTAGATCCAAGCAGCAAATTGTGACAACTGTCCTGGTGGCAGGACATGATTCTCAAGCACGATCCAGGGGAATCTAGGCTTGATTCAGTCTTGTAGCCAGCTTCAATGATCTTCTGGAAAAACAGAAAGCACTTGGCTGGGTCTGTCTAACAAATGTCAGAAATCTGCAGACATTGGGAGGAATCTGTCAGGAACTAAAGTACTTGGAGAGTCACTGGCTTAAAAAAAACCGCCACTTACTTGCAGCCTGACCACTTTATAGCTAGAATCCACTGTAGCATTTTTAAACCATACGTTAGCTAAGAATCTATACTGAAAGCTGACCGTTAAAATGTGATTTAAGTTGGCATCTAGACATAAACCACTATGCCCGGTTCACATGGTCCTGGGAAAAAATATACATGTTAGGCAAAGACTCTACCAACCAAGTCACACTCCCAGCCCCCAGAAAGTTAATTTTTAAAAGCCTATATTACTTTTTTTCCACCATTTAAAAGAATCATCTTTGTGTACTTTTCAGACTTCTCTTGAACTCCTGATTTAATGGGGCCTCCTGCCTCAGTTTCCCAAGTAGTTACGGACTGTACGGTGTCCAGCTACATTTTTAGAAAGCTTGACTGCAGTACAAGTGCTACCCAGGCTCCTCCCTTCACATGCATATTAAGTGATGCACTGCCATACTTTTAGTAGTTCTTCCAACTGGTAGCTGAAATTTCTAGATCTCCTATTAGTGCATTTTAAGTCAAATATTATAAATAAAACATAATTGTTCTTAATGTTCTTCTTCCTTGAGAGAAATGGGTCTGGATTTCAAATTATAACTTTAAATAAATTCTTAAACCATTCGCTTTCCTCAAAAAGAAGGTTTTCGCGTGTAGGACAGACAATGTGTCAAAGAACATGGCTTTGGAATGTGGATTGCCGTGTTTAAATCTTACGTGTTATCACATTTGAGTCATATTTTTATCTCCATTATTTCTTAGTATTTTGACTGGTAACATGAAAATACATAGGGACCATGCCATAGAGGTTTCTAAGGTTAAATAAAGGACATTTACAGAATTAACACTTTATGGCATGTGATATAAGATGAATACATTTTAGCTTTATTAAAAAATATTTTATTGGGGGGAGGGGATTCTCTGTATAGCAGTGGCTATTCTGGAACTTGCTTTGTAAACCAGGCTGACATGGAACCCAGAGAACCCCTTTCATTCCTCCTGAATGCTGTGATTAAAGGCATGAGCCACCACCGCCAACTTTTAAAACATCATCTTATACAAAGGCCAAGAAAATAACAGCTAAGACCATCGTTTTAAATGGGGCCTGAGTACCAAGACTTTTCTGTCTTTAATGTGCTTGAATCACCCAGGAGTCTTGAGAAAATGCAGATTCTTATTCAGGGAGTCTGAGATTTTATATTTCCGTAAATTCTCAGGAAGCTGGTCTGTGTACAGCACCTGGGGTGACTGGATGCTTGCTTCTAATTGGAATGTGGAGAGTCTGAACGGGGAGAAAGAGCTTGATTTGCCTGGAAACATTCAAAACCACTGATGTGAGGTCTTCCTTGCATCATCTTTGATTTAGTTTTTCACCATTTTTACTCTTTCCAGGCTAATATTTCTTTCGATTGAAAACAATATTAGTGTCTATTTCCCAATGAGATCCACATTAAGCCCTTTTATTGTGGGTGATAGAGTGAAACACTAGATGCGTTGGAAAGGTAATTCCACAGTCGCACTTTCCCTCAAACACTGGGAATTTGCACGGTGCTTAATATGAGACTATGAGCGTGCACGAATGTGATCCATAGTATTAAGGAAGTCCTAGTGAGGAAGGGAAGGAGCTATTATTCATTACTGGAGAAGTGCAGGAACCGTACAGTGCAAGCCACACCAGACACCTGTCTCATCTGAACATGGGGACAGGAAGAGTGGTTTTTAAATGTCTTCTCTTTCTCAACATACCCTTAGCCTGACCATTAGCTCTGCAGGGCAAAGACCATTTTTTCACTTTGATGTATCCTCAAAGGCCAAATATCACTCTGTTCTATACAATCGCCTATGCAAGAACTGGCTACTACTGATACAGACAATTCTTCATTTTCCAAAGTAGTATATGATCTTCGGTTCATATAAAATGAGCAAATATCTAAGCAACTCAGAGAGTTAATTAGCAAGCATAGCATCTCTTTATAAGCAAGTACACTGTGACATGTATGTGTTTCCAATATTCTTGCTCTGTAGTTCATCAAGACAAATCGTTAAAGCCATTGACCTAAACCAAGACTTTTATCACTTGGTGAAGATCAAGGTACCTTCTATGTACATAAAATGAGTTAAGAAATCAGTTGGTCTAAATCAAAGGATGGTTAATCATCTGATTAAAACAAGTCGGAGCATATCCAGAACTAAGAAAGACAGGCTGCCTCTAGAAGCAGTGTGGACTCACTGTTCATTTGTTTCCCAAACTTTTATGTTGTAAATGAATTGAACATGACACACTTGAAAAACACTCTTGGGTATGGGAGTTATAACCATAGCAAGCAGAATCTAGAAACTTGTGTCTAGTTAAGACCCTTAGACGAAGCAACAAAACAAAAATTAAAATGATTCTAAAATGACCTATAAGAAAACAGTAAAACAAAGCAATCAAACTATATAGCAAACTCTGTTATAAAAGAAATTTGAAACACAACTTTATTTTTTTCACATGCAAAGGAACTTTTCTGAATATCTGCTATGAAAAGAATTAAAAATCAGCAAATATTTCCTAGCATTACAGCTATACACAACAGCAAATACCCATATGTCATTGCTATGGCTGCTCTAAATCCATATTTTGTTTTGTATTCCCATCTGATGTTAAAGTGATAACTCTAACAAAACTTTGGCAAATTTATACCACCTTCAATTTCTTTTCTGGGAGGCAAACACTGTATTTTAGAGCTTTTAATGGGTTAATAGTAGTGACTTGCCCAATCATTTGAGTATTACCTTCTGCCACTTAGGTAATACTGGTTAAATGTAACTATAGTCATCATGTCATTAAAAAGTTGATTTTCAGAACCTAAAATTCAGGGAAAAGACCAGGCACAGTGATAAATAAAGGACTAAGGGACAGGAGTCAGTGCTGGGCAGCAAAAACATGCAAACGGAACAGGAATTCCATCTCTGTCCCTAAAACAGATCTGAAAGCAAAACAGAGCCGCTGTCAGCTATCTGCCTGGGAAGGGCATAGTGAGAGAACAGAGAAGGCTCACAGCTGGTGTTCAAACTGCTTCAAAGTCCTTCACGGCTAAGGACTTCACTGGGTTTGGATTAAGTATAAGATTAAACCTTTCTTTCCTTGGCACAAGCAAAATTAGTTGTTTGTCACTGTTAATTAGTAACACAGCATCTACAGTCATAACTAGCGGCAGCCAAAGGCAGCAAAAGTAAGCTCCAAAGTATCAGGGACAATTCTTCCTCCAACTCGAGGGAGACAAACCTGAAAGGCCTATACATGTGCCCTTGTACTGACCCAAGTTACGACAGCAGACAGACTGAAGCGCAGTACGATTGACTGCCTCAGACACTGGTGGACAGGCATTTTGTAACCCTCCGGATGACCCGTCTTCCACCGGGAGGAAACCCACTCTCTTCTGAGGTGATGGGCATGAGGTCTGTTCATCTAACACCAAAGAAAAGCAGAACTAGAAACCAAGGCCTTGTGAAGGGGAAAATAAACCAACATCAACAACAAAAACATGAATAAACCAAAACGAGAAATCCAGGAAGAGAAGGAGGAAATCTGAAGAGTCAGTAATATTAAGATCTTGCAACTTAAGGTCACTGCCTAAACTTCAAGCTTTATATATTATACATTATAGGGATTGTTACCTATGATTTTGGGATCGACCGTGGAGCTATTAGGAGACTTAATATCTGTCCAGAGAAGACAAAAGGAAAGTTAGACAATTTGGAAAACTCTAAGCATGGACTAACAAGGTAACCATCATAGACTTTTATTTTGTTAGCGATCACCAAGAAGCGGAAAGGTAGTTTTTAATAACTGAAGGAGACCTTCTGGGCAGTGACCTGAGACTCGGAGTTGTTAAACAAACAAAAAGACTCTTAATATTGTGCAGCTAATTTGATGGGAGGACAAGGAGGGTTCTTGGACATTAGCAGGAAAATGGTTCTGAATGGAGCAGTGATTGTCCAAGTGGGGCCCTTACACAGCAAACACCATGGGTAGTGTCTGTTTGTTTGTTTGTTTGTTTGTTTGTGATTAAACCAAGGAGATGAAACACTAAAATAAGCCGCTTGAGTTCCTTTTGAATTCTTTTTTTTTTTCCTAATAGAAAATTTTAAGTAAGGTTAAGGCTTTTGCTAAGGGCAATAAATTCAGGGGCCCTGGAAACACATGGTGGTGACTATCAAATAAAAAATCATTTTGGGAATGAAGTACCTTGAAAAGGATAATTACTGGCAGAGGAAAACAGAAGGGGTAAGGCTGCTTGATTCCCTCTCTTCCTGGAATGACACAGGAAATTAATGTTGCCAACTTCTAAATGTGACCTCAGGGTCCACAGAGTGTCCAAACTTTCCTGTGAAAAAGTCTCCTGGGAGTCGGTGGTGGGTTTTATGCTTAATGAGGACATTAATAAACAAGGGCACAGGTAGCCAATTACTCTGCTTGACCAAAGACAAGGGGACAGCACAAGCCTTGGGGAGGATTGAGTTTTCTGGAGACCACCGTATTTTGGGGTTGTGGAGACAACAGGCTAAAGGAACGGGAAATGAGATAGAGTGGAGAGCCCTGCTCTTGGTTCAGTACTGAAAAGAGACCACTTAAACACTGAAGGGATTAGGCCTTGTCTGCCTGTTAAGGTGCAGCAACCTGTTTCTCACCGCCCGTAGAGTGGGGAATCAAAGCGCCACTGCGAACACCTGCGGTGATGGAGTTTGGCCGACCTACCGACTGAGTCTGATGACAATGACCCACACTGGTAGGGTTTGCTGGGAAAGGGTAAGCAGAGGACAATACGGGGTCATTGGTAAACAAAGAGGGGGCATTCTTAAACTCAAAGTAACACAATTTCAAATGGCTGACCTCGCGGTCACCACGGTTCAAGTCAGCTCACAGCTAAAATTCAACAGTTATTTAAAGGCACGGAGGAAAATTGGTTTGCTTGCCTCCGGTTTCTGTAGATTTATAGCCTGTACTCGAAAGAGTTCGGTCAAAACATTGTGACTCTTTTGGAACACGCTGCAAATGAGCGCCCTTTCCTCCCACCTAATCTGGAGAAGGGCGGCCAGCTCTAGTCTGCCCGCTGGCCAGGAATGTGCTCGCTCTCCTGGGTCCCCCGGGTCCTCTTCACCCAGTTCTCCCGATTCTGATGCGGTGGCAAGGAACCGATCCCAACCCGCCCCTGATCACCAACGCTGGCAGGACGCCTTAGCTAGGACTCACCGCACCCAGGAGAGCGCCAGAGCTGGGAGAGCCGCTGGGCTGGTACCGGGCTCCGCCACCCGAGTCACCCGTGGAGCAGGACTCACGCCCCGTGTCCTCTCCCACACAGCATCACCCAGTCCCTCGCAGCTGCCTGGAGATCAGCAGCGAAGCACCTCGTCATTTATAGCCTAGGGGGCGTCGCTGCTCCACAGGTTCCAACCCCCTAGGCTCTGCTTTGCTCTCCTCCCCGCCCCGCCCCAGACCCTCGGTCCAACCCTCTCCCTCTCTGGATTCTGACTGCATCTTCTCTGCTGTCACTTCTCAAATCCACGCTCATCTGGCCCTGAATCACCCAGCACAGACTGAGTGTTGAAGATGGAGGGAGGGTGGGGTAAGTCCACATAAATTGACTCCGAGATAAACGCTCCACTAAGAAACGAAAAAAAAAAAATTGAAAAACTTTTAAGGATGAACTAGGGAACTCCCTTGTCTTTGCTGTGGCTAACTCAAACTTTGACGCCCTTGTTGTGGCTCACAGATGGTAGAGATTAATTTCAGAGTTGTAAAATGAAAGAGCTGATCACCAGTTCCTCCTAGTTTACACGCGGCCCAAGCTGCACTTACTTAAAAATAAAAACAGACTGCCAAAAAAACAAATAGCACACAAATATTTGTGAACAAAAATGAACTCAATTCTTTTCAAAAACAAAAAAATAGTTTCCCCAGTGCATCCTCGTGAGGTCAGAATTACTCTGATACCAAACCCAGACAACACATTACAAGAAGACCTCAGACTACCCACTTCTGTGAATGGAGATGCAAATGAAGTTTTCATTCAAACCCAATGAAAACTAAAGTATTGAGATCAGGATGTGCCCTGCTCCCAGTTACTCCTCCACACTGTAACAGTGGCTTTTCAGACTGCAAGAGGTTCTGTTTTACAAGCAGCATCCACTTCATTTTGAGAAAAAAAAATGCAGAAGTAGAGTTCACACTTTGATGGGCAAGTAAACACCATCTGCCTGGCACCAGCAAGAAGGCACAGACAGATTAGCAACTTATTCCTTAAAGCAGAAAGGGCCCCACTATTTAAAAAAAATCAAGGTAAATGGGAGCTACAGTCACCCGCTGATGTTAGGATCAAACCAGGGAAAGCAGGCATGACTATGTGCTCGCTGGACTCACAGACAGGGGAGGGTGCAGCTTCCTCACCTGAACTGCATGAAGAGGAGACCTAATGCTTCCATGGTTGGAAGACCTTATCTTACCATCTTGTGTGCAGCAGAGAACTCCCAACAGTCCTGGGGCTTCAGATTGGCTCAGTCCCTGCTGCTGCTGCTGTGGCTGTTGAACTCGAAGTGGCGCTGATACATCCGCCCACTTGCCTGTCTCCAACTGCCATACAACTGTCATCTAGGCTTGCACTTGGCCACTCCAGCCTCTGCTGTTGGTGCAGCTCAAACCTTGACTCAATAGCAGCAAATCTCAAGCAGGGATTATCGTATGGCCATAGAGACTCTTTAGCTACCCTACCTGCTTCTCAGACATCTTTGCAATTCCTTGAAATCCGTTTGGGTGTCTTCACTCTATGTAGCCAATCTGTAAACTACATATACGCATATATATCATGTGAAGTGTAAGGCATAATCTGAAAGTTAGTATTCATAGATAAGATTAGAATAAAAGAGTCTGTGTTTCTATATTTGCCTCTTCAGGTTGTCAAAGAAGTAGAGACTATTTTATTATTTGTCAATAGATTCTGACATTTAGAAAAGTCACAAGCATGTTAGTTGAATCTTTGTAAACATAGAAGTTCAGTTTTTAAAAATGGAGGTGGTCTTTTAGTGTGAAACCTGAAACAATGAAACTGTTGGAAGAAAACATAAGTGCTGCCCTACAAAATACATGTAGGATGGTACTTCCTGAATGAGACTTCATTTGTTCAGAAATTGAGGCCAACAATTGACAAATGAGACTTCATAAAAGTAAAAATCTACACAGCAAAGGAAACTGAAACAGTCAATGGAGTGAAGTGGAAGCCCGCAGAGAAGGAGAGAATCTGCCAGCTGTACATCTGAAGGAAGGTTAATATTCAGTATACATAAAGAACTCAAAAAATAGGGTCAAGAAAACATATGGCCCAATTCTTAAATGCCCCCTGAATCTGAACAGAGAGTTTACTAAAGAAGAAATAAAAATGGCTAAGAAATATTTTATAAAATGTTCAACATCCTTAGCAGTCAGAGAAATGAAAATCGAAACACTCTGAGAGTCCATCTTGCCCCAGTTAGATTGGTGCAGATCAAGAAAAGAGCTGACAACAAGTATTGTTGAGGAGTCAGGGAAAATGGAGCCCTCATTCATTGTTGGTCAAATTGCAAACCGGTGCAGCCAATGTGGGTATCAGCGCAGAAAATTCTCAAAACGCTAAAAGTCAATCTGCCATACTACCCAGCTTCAACACTCTTTATCATAAGCCCAAAGGACTCTACATCCATGATACTTGCTCATCCACGTTCAGAGCCACTCTGTTCATAATAGCTAGGAATAGAAACAGCCTCAATGTCCTTCAACTAATGAATGGATGATAGAGATGTGGTTCAAACATATAATGGAATACTATTCAACTCTTAAAAACAAGAATAAAATTATGATATCTGTAGGGAAATGGATGGGACTAGAAAAATATTACACTGAGTGAGGTAACCCAGATGCATCCTAAGTAGTCTGGAAAACAGAAGACCATGCACAGAGGGGAGAAGCTCTAGAAAGGGGATAACAGGAGACTCATGCTACAAAGGGGGTGATAGAGAAAAGGGGGGACCTATCTATACTGGAGAGAAAGGAGGAAGGGTAATATGCAGGGAATGGAAGGAGAAAGAAATAACACTAAGAGTGTTTGAAAAGGCCATAGGGCAACATACTAAACATAAGCTTACATTTTTAAGATGTGCATACACACACATACACACACACACACACAGAGAGAGAGAGAGAGAGAGAGAGAGAGAGAGAGAGAGAGAGAGTTATGTCACATTGGGATGGTGATAATGTTCATAAGAGCCATGCACTACCTTTCCAAAACTGCAGTATTGAGCATGGGAAAGTTTTTGAGTTGTTGGGTTGGTCAGAAGATTACAAGGGTTGTCTAAAACAATATAGATTACTGTTGATGCCTTTGGATGCTTTCCAGAACTTGAAAGTAAAGCCCTCTTTTTGAATACACCACATACTTTGAACACAAAGAGTTGAAGGAATCGAACTGGAACTGATCTTCAAACCCAAGGACTTGCTCTCAGCATCAGAAGATGATAGGTAAGTTGCCAAGGAAAAGGAGTAATTGATAGTCCCACCTAACTGTGAAGCCTATAAACCAAGACAGCCCCAATGGTGCACCAGTAGCTCTATTGTCTTGGGGGTAACCAGCAGCTGTCTAATTCAAGTGAAGGCCCACTCAATAGGAGGGAATTTATTCATGGTACTGGGGCTTAGCCAACTACTCATGGCTGGAGAGTTCATAAACCCTAGAGGAGAACCTACTACTGCCTTTTTTCTAAATTAATATAGTTCCTGGCTGTATTATAAATACTTATCCTTTACTCACAGATAAATGTAAATCATAGTCCTTTTCATCAAAGAAGCTTCTGTTTCAACAGGTGGAGGTTACCACAGAGATGCACTATGGCCTTAAATAAGACCTGCATAATGACAACTTCAATGAGCATGCCAGTTTAGATGGGGAAGCTCCATAGGTCCCACCTCCAATGAAGAGACCAGTGGCTACTGAGAATGGGGGGAAATGGGTTTTCTCCAGGGACAAGCTCCCTGATAGGCCGTTTAATTTCTAGTGGTCAGCCCTAAGCTCACACACATCCTAGCAATGCTAGATGAACTTAGTAGGTTACATGCATACACATACATACACATACACACACACACACACACACACAAAGTAGGGAAGGGAGACATGAGAGGGGCTGGGAATGGGAGAGAGCAGGGTATTGGAAGTGGGAGAGAAGGATGAAAATTATGTAAATACTCATATGTGAAATTCTCAAAAAATAAAATATTAAGCTATAAAAGAAACAAGATTAGAGGAGCTGGAGAGATGGCTCAGTGATTAAGAGCAGGTACTTCTCTTGCAGAGAACCCAAGTTCATATCTCAGAACCCATGTTAGAAATCTCACAAACACTTGTAATTCCTGCTGAAGGAAGACAGATGCCACTAGCCTCCCCAGACACATACATGCACTGCATATACAGCAACTTACATAACACATACACATAAAATATTTTAAATCAGAAAAATACAAGAATGATGTTTTATCCCTTAGGAATATACCAGTGAAACAATAGACATCTTATTGACTTTACAACTTGTATGCATTTATTATTGTTATAAGGGGTTGTGCTCCATAACGGAGGACAACTTGGTGGCATCTGCTTTCTCCTTCCACCTTTCCATGGGTTCACAAACAGGTCGTCAGATTTGCATAGCAAGTGTTTGCTGAGCCATCTCACTGGCCTCCTTCAACATTGTTTTAGTACTAAATACAAAAGTATTTCAGCTGGCATGATAGCTTGTGAGTGAAGCTGCTTGCCACCACACCTGACAGTCTTGAGTTCTATTTCCTAAACAGGAAATTGACTCCTACAGGTTCTGCAAGTACATACATGTGCACACATACACACACAGTCATACACACAAACACACTCACACAGAACAAACAAACAAAACTGCCCGAAGTTTTGCAGAAGAAGAGGCTCCTTTCCCTCACTTGGGTTTCCCCATGTCCGGAAAAGGACGGCAACCAATTCTGAATTTTTGGTTGTGAAGTTGAAAGTCTCCTGAATATCTGTGCCTCCCTATAACATATAAGTGCTCATGTGGTTTTCATTTAACTTCTTATAACACACCAATAACTTATTTTATAAAAAGATGCTGATGTTTCCAAAAGGGGTGAGTCTTTGATAAAGCCAAAGTTTTGGTTAATTCTGAAAAGTTCTTAGTGTTGTCTAACACCTCTAATTGTATTAGTAGATTTGAATTGTGTCATTAAAATAAGTTCTTCAATCACTATGCAATTCACCAGAAATGCCCTCAATACAAACACATTTTAGTAGAATTTTTCCTACCACTCAGGTCACCCAGGAAGTGAATATTTTATTTCAT